TGCATTCACAGAACTAGTATTTGGCTAAACAGGAGAAGCAGACAGATAATCAGTGAGAGAAAAAAAATGCTTCATATATAGATTAGATTATGATATCAGTTTGAACAATAAACGGGAAAATTGCTTTGTTGAACAATAAAAACAAAGCTGAACGACAAAAATGTGTGCTGTTCTTCGTTTCACAGCCTTAAGATGATACTACACAAGGCCTTGAATCAGACTTTACCTCTAAATTCCACTTGCAGGTTAGCTGATACAGCTAAAGACGCCACACTCTTGGGTGAGCCTTGATTGATAAGAGCCTTTAGAAGAAGAACATTAATATTTACATATTCCATGTTCACTTTACTCTGGGTAAACAAGTTAGAATGGAAAAATAAGCAGCAAAGGGACATCTCCTGTGGGATTGGCTGGGATTCTTCACGCACTGTGGTTTACAAAATTGATGGATCTGTTGGTATAGCAGTGATGCGTCAGTCCACATGGTGAGGAGAATTTCATTGCACCATACTCACTCTCTTTCTGTGTTTAGATTCAGATGCCATAGATGCTATCTGAAATGAATAACTGCCATGTACCATAAAAAAGCATACAAAATCCTACATTTTTTCTTCTCTACTTTTTTCTTATTATAAACTGTGTTGTTTTTTAACCCCTTAAAAGGCCAGGATCCACCAGCAGGTTTAAAATTTTACTACACATTTCAAAAACCTAGAAATAACTAAGTAGTCAGCATTGCAGTTCATGTAGTTACTGAATAGTGAGACTTAGTGTGTAATAAGCCTGGGCTTTTAAGGGGTTAACAGTGACAGTTTTTGAGTTTACAAATGAAAGTATGTGCTTTCTTGACTAAAAAACTTAATTAATCCAAGCGATGAGATCAAGGTCCCCTTAAATCAGTCCTAATATGTAGTCTGAAAGAGTAGCGCTGATTTTTTTAGAAAAATTAACAAAGTGCAATTCTTTCATTTGAAGTTATTATTGTCTTTGTTCGTTTGACAGAAAAGACTCATTTTCTAATGATTCCAAGAGCTTTATATCATAGTCCCATTGGGTTTCAGTCAGGGAGCTTCTTGAGCTTTCAGTAGCATTGTATGAATAATAATTAAATAATTGTGCATTGTCTATTTTTGACTTTAGTAACATATGGATGAAATAATCCTTTTCTGTTAGACTCATTTGGACCATTTTCAAGGCAACAAAGTGCTTTCATTTGATCAGTTACAGAGTTCTCACTTTGTTAGACACACTGTTGTAGTTTTCGGCATATGGTTACAGAATAATCACTGTAGAACCTTTGTTATGTTGAGGTTCTTTAACATAAGGTTGTCGCAAATTTGGCTATTAATGCCATTTAACCACTTTTTTCTTAATAGGACAGTTTCTAAAGGCTGTTGTTTTGTTTGCTTGACATGTAAAGAACATGATCTAACAAAGATTCTGAGATTTTTATTCAGTTTGTTTTTCACAACTAACTTTTTGAACAAGAAAACACATGAGTAGGTATATGAAAGTCACACATCAGATGGACTTTATCGATACTCAGATCAAACAAATCCATAGTAAGTGCTTATCAATCTGAACTCCGCTCTGAATGAGTGTATTCAACAATAGTTCTGTTGCATAGTGTATACAGTGATAGAAAACATGGCAGCACACAGAAAGCTCCAGCTCTACATGCTGAAATTGATAAAACTGTATTGCTGTTACCAATATGGTTGTGCACATGGCAACTCCTCCAGTGGCAGATTTAAACTAGTGGGTTTCTTTTTGGGAGGTTCAGTACAAAAATTGCTCTTTAAAAATCACAATCTGAGAGGTTTTTTTTGTTTTGTTTTGTTCTGGGGGAACTAAAAGTGGTTCTTCTAGAGCTTTGCTCCAAATAACTCTTTTGGCCCAGGTATCTCCATCAATTTTTTATTTTTCTACACAAATTTAAATCTTTAAGACAATTTGTGGATGCAGCAACAGACAGTGTTAAGTATTCCTGAGCCCATGATCTTGATCACAGAAGGAAGCCGGTTTTTAATGCAGTGCTGACTGAGGGGTTGAAGGTCATGGTCCATTAGTTGTGTTTTTTACCTTACATTTTATGCACAGAGGTTTCCCAGATTCCCTGAATCTTTTGATGACATTATGCACTGTAGGGGTGAAATACCTCTATAAAATCGTTGCTATTGCTTGCTGAGAATCATTAAACTGTTGGATTATTCGCTGATGCCTTTCTGGCGAGGTGGAGAGTCTCAATCCATTCTTGCTCTTGAAGGAATCAGCCTTTTTCTGGATTCTCCTATTATATCCAAGCGTGGTTGCATCATCAAAAAATAGTATCAGAATGAACGCATATTAAAAAAAATATATATATTATATTACATATCTTGTCTTTGTACTGTTTTCATTCAAATACAGGTCAGAGTAGATTTGTGAATCTTTCTGTTTGTGTTTCACATACTGTCCCCACTTTTTTGAAATTGAGGTTTGTACATGGAAACTTTTATTGAAAATAGGATTATAATAATGCAGTCATTCAATCTATAGCTTATTATTCAGTAACTACAGGGACTACAATGCAAACTGCCTGAGCTATTCTTAGGTTATAGAAATGTGTATTAAAGCTTTGGGTTCAGGCCATTTAAGGGGTTAATCTTCCATGTACTTGCTGCTTTAGTATTTAGTATCGATGCTTTTAGTATAGTACACAAGTATTCAAAATTAGGGGTTGAAAACTTTTGTTTGTTTGTTTGTTTGTTTTTTATCGACAACACCAAGTAAACACTGAGACAAGTTTACCAGCGTGGAATGCTGATCTTGATCTTTTAATAGACAAAGAGACCTGGGCAATGATATGGCTTTACTCCAGTGATTTATCTGCTTGTAATAGAAGTAAGGAGTCACAATTTAGATTGCTCCATCGATTACAAATAGCACCCTATCTGAGGAACAAGATGGACTTCAGTTAACTTGTTAAATGTGGCAAGAATGAGGCTAACTTTGAGCATTGCATATGGTTCTGTATGTTCCTCTAAGATTACTGATAAAAAGTTCTACTCACCTTAAAGAAGTTTGATATGAGCTAAAAAATGGGACCCATGAGATTTCCTTATGGGTATTTCAGTATTAGCAGTAAATGATTGACTTTGCTGTCTTTAAAACTATTACTGAAGTGCATTTCTGATAACCTCCAACAATTGTAGAATGGCAAATAGCACATTATATCCTTCTCACATTTTACATATAGACCTATGTAAAACATTAGACTAACATAAAATTAAGCAATGGTATGATATTTGGCTCATTTCTTAACATATCTCGAATTTTAAAACTATATTCCCAATTATTTGGGCTATACACAATCTTTCACAGTTGGCGCCACACCTATAAAAGTGGTGGGGCCAAAAAACCCAAAAACTGACCAACTTAACCCCTAAAAGGCCAGAGCCCTTTCGATAGACCCAAAGTTGTATTACACATTTCTATAACCTAAGAATAGCTCAACCAGTTTGCATTGGAGTTCTTGTAGCTATTTAATAATAAGCCTTAGTATATATAGGCCTGGCATTTTAAGGGTTTTTCAGGGTTACATGTAGTCTAGCTCATAGTTATAATAGAAAATGACCCAGAAAACATTTTCATTTACAGGGTTAGTGTTGCATGTTTTGGTCTATGTGTTTAATGGGTTCCATGCAGACAGCTAACTTTGCTGTCTCACATCTCTGAAAGACATCAAATTCTAGGTTAGCAACGTAGCAGTAAGAAATACTGCATCTTAAGTTTCACATATTGTGGTAATTACACTGTCACCAAGTGCATGCATAGATAGATAGATAGATAGATAGATAGATAGATAGATAGATAGATAGATAGAGATTTCTAAATAAGCAGCCTGAACTCAATAAAAAACTGGTGGGGCATCGACCCAGTACTTTTAAAGGTGGTGTGTTCCAGCAGCTGAGCTGCCACTCATAAACTTAAAAGTACAGTGTGTACCTTTTTGCGTTTTGACTTGCTTAACTACTTCTTTATCTTCTTTTCCTTTTTCTGCATTCTGAGTACAGATGTATACAGGTGATGATATATAATAGTGTGTTAGACATGTAAGCTATAAGAATTTTTTCCTAGAAAATTAAACTGTGATTGTGCATTGTGTAATCTGTGTTCAAGTTCAAAAATCAATAAATATACCTATATGTTTGCAAAAAATAAGGAGGTAAAATAAAGACGTTATAGGAACAGTGAATTGTGCCTGGTAAAATTGTTCACATAAACATGTCAAAAAAGTGACATAATTATGAGCGCTGTTTGTTCAGATGTATTTCCTTTGTGAGAGCACTGGAGGCATGTGCTGCATTGTTAATTGGGAAGCTGTTGCAGAATAGTGTTGTGTCTGATCAATAGCCATTCAGGAGGTAATAGCACAACAGAGGATTGCTGTTCGTCTGAGCCCTCAGCTGGCATGCGGACTCCACAAAGGCAATCTGACACAACACTTCTTATCCCACGGCATCACCAGACCAAGCTCACAACAAAGGGACTTCTCAGCAAAGAGAGATTTTCTTGATAATATGAAGGAACCGAATACGTCAGAGAAGAGGCCGGAGCCACATCGCGTTCCAATTGTAGAGTAGCATGCTCATACTTATAGAGCTTTCTTCAAATCCATTTATATGCAAGCAGGAGAACAGTTATCTACGAACAGAATAACTACCAGTGTTATGCAAATTCTCACTTGCAGATGCTATTTGGTGCCGATAAAAGCTCTTCTGAGGCTGATAGGAATCAGTGTTGTAGAACAGGTGAATTAGCATGCTAGGTGGCTGGTGTCTGTGCCAAGTTTGGTCTAATCAATTCTTTTCTCCTCCTTCTCTCTTTCTCCCGTCCCTCTTTCCTCTCTCTCTCTCTCTCTCTCTCTCTCTCTCTCTCTCTCACTCTCTCCTTCCATTCCTGCCTCCCTCACTCATTCCTAACTCCCTCCCTCCCTTTCTTGCTCTCCGCGATTCCAGCGGCGGCTACGAAAAACAAAGCGAAAGGTGAGTGGGCTCCTCCATCTTCCCTGCTCCTTGATTAATGGGGGGACACTATTCCCAATAAACTGTGTTGAGATAGCTCCCTTATCTTTGCTACAAGCCTGCCAGACACCACCACTCCCTCTCTTCTCACAGACAGAGACCAGGGAGTGGACTGGAATTCACTTCCAAGAGTTTTGCGTGGTCATCCGTGCCGTTTATCATCCTCCTTACCCTCTCCTTCTCCTCTTTTCTTTTCCTCTCCCATCCTCCCGTCCCCTTTTTCATGTGCTTCTTCTTACCACCCCTACCTTCTCTTATTTTCCTTCACCTTATCATGCTAAGATTATTATGCAAATGGGAAAAAAAATTCTCAATTTTAAAGTATTGTAGCGTATAGTGCTTTCAAGCTATGTATTCGAATCATATTACGCTATTATACTGACAATAAAGGTGCCAATAAGGATCCTTTACACAACGGCATAGAAGACCCATGTTTGGTTCCCTAAAGAACCATTTTTGCGAATGACACATCTGGTAAGTGAAGAACCTTTTTGAGGTTTTAGGAAACTCTACATAATATAAAAGTTATAGAAAGAACATTTGCATTATGTGAAGATTCTTTAAGCTTTAAAAGGTTCTTTACACTCTCTTTTTAAACATGGTTCTCTAGAAAAACAAAAAGGTTCTTCTATGGCATCACTCGAGAAATCCTCTTTGGCACCTTTATTAGGGTTACTTAATGGTTCCAGAGTTGGCCATGGGGTTCTAGGAAAATCCTTTTGGTATAGAATCTTCAAGTTTAAAGAGGTTCTTCACAACTATACATCTTATGAAGAAATATTCTTCTAGGAACCAAAAATGGTTCTTCTATGGCGATGCTCCGCTCTTTTTTGCACCTTTACTTTTATGAGTGTAGGTCTCCATGAGGTAAGTGTGAAGTTGGAATAGTCCAGTACTGCAAACTCTCTCCTTGAAAGCTGAAGGCTGAGAAACATGCCTGTCAAACCCTTGAGTGGTCCCACTGTGGAACAAGAGAGCCTCACGTTTCTGAGGGTGGAGGAAGACAGTGAATTTCTGAATGCAGAAAGAGGAAAGCGTCGAGAAAAGGAGAGATGCAGAGAATTTCTTTCACTCTTGGGGACAGAAGTAGTGCTTTGATCTAATAAGTGAAGCCTGTGATGCAGATGAGAGGGTTCTGAGTGTGTCCTGATAACTCAGTGATGTGGGATTTCACACGTACATCCAGATACGTTGTTTCTCAAGATTAGATGTTCTATGAGTGGTATTTACTGTGTTGTTATTTCCAGATGAATCTGACAAAATTGGAACTTGGGAAGTTCAGCCTTAAAACTGAAGGTTTCTGCTTTGTTCTTGGCTTGAATGTACAGTTCTAGGGAAAATATGAATTGGTATAAAACCTTTGCTTCATGTGGAGATTCTTTTAACTTTAAAAAAGGTTTTTCACACTCATACATCTCATTTATAAATCGTTTCTGTAAAGCAGTGGTTCTCAGACTGGTCCTCAGGGACCCCCAGACGTCCATATTGTTATCTCTATATGTTAGGCATTGGGATTCCCTGCAGACCAGTTCTAAGAACCATCTGTTGAAAGGTTCTTTAGGCAACCAAAAGTGGTTCTTCTGTGGTATCGCTCCAATAGGAAAAGGGCTATAATATTCAAATTCACAGTCTGGAAGCTATTAGGTTTGAGGGAAAAAGTGATATTGTGAAGCTAAACTGTAGGTAATATGTGCTAAATTTGTTAGCACAGAAATGACATTGATTTGGAGGTGTCCTTGTGCTGCACAGAAATGGCTTCATGAAGTAATTCTCACAGGGACATAAGACAGAGTCAATTTCTTCAAAAAGCTAATGTCAGAAAAATACAGAACACTTTATGAGGAGATTCTTCACTTTAGAGTGTTCTTTACACTCACACATCTCATTTACGAACCTGGTTCTTTAAGAAATTACCCATTTAAAGGTTCTTTAGGCAAATAAAAGTGGCTCTTCCATGGCATTGCTCCAAAGAACCTGTTTTGGCACCTTTATGTATTTGCTTTACCAAAAAAAATAACCACAGAATGATACAAAAATCATTCAAAAAAACCCTCGAAAAAATGAAGGTTCCAAAATAGTTCTTGGCTTGAATGTCCCAGACAGCAAGAAGATCCCATTGTTGGCCCGCTAACTACAAAGCTGGTGGTCCACTGACCTTTTTCTCAGTGTTTTCTGGGTGGCCCACTGATAGTTTAGGTAGCACAGTATTACACAAAATACCACATTTCATTGCTTTTTTCCACTACATGTCTAATTTACTTATTTATTCTTCATTTCTTTCTGTCATTATCCTTTGTTAGTTTAGTAAATCATTTTAACAACAACATTTTCAACAAAATCATTTTATAGCAGGCCTAGTTATTTATTTTTTTCCTCTATAATATTTGTTTTAGTTTATTAATGAAAATAAAGGGCCATGTGCATTTAAAGTCTGTATGAGGAGATTAAAAAATAGTTAGACCTTGTATGCAGGACAATAATCTGGGTGGTCCAACCATGGACTAGCAGGGTGCTGACCTTATCGAGCCAACTGACCGACATATGCTTGCTATCTGGGCTACAGTCCAAAGTAAAACCTTTCATTGTTATACAGATCTTTCGTTAGACCTTTACATTATGAGGAGGTCCTATAAACTTAGAGAATTAGCTGTAGTGTTGTCAGTATTAGCAAAGTGTTAAGGCAGAGTTTTCTCAGATCAGTTGTGGAGAACTACAGAGGTACAGAATTTGGTGTTTTCTATGCTCATTTTTTGGTTATTTTTAGGCAGATTTGTTGCAGAAAGAGTGAAATGGGATTTAAGACTGAAGAAACAGGGCTTTAAAGGGTTACTAGCATCTATTAGGCCTAGTTTCATCTGCTCATGATAACTTGCGCATTACATGTTGATAGCCTGGCTTAAAAAAGTGGTCACCAACTCGCCTCCTGGAAATATTATATCCCCTGCAGAGTTTCGTTTAAGCTGCATGTCACCCTCCTCCCCCAATACCTAATACTAATGCATTTGATCCAGCCAATCAAGCATCTCTAAAAAAAAATTAAAAAGCAGGACCAGATGTGGCTTGAAAGGACTGCATGAAGGTAGATCTCCAGGACCAGAGTTGGTGACATATGAACTGAAAGCACCTGTATACAGTCTTGTGAGCTGTTTGCAGCTGGCTCAGTATAAGACATAAACAGTAGATTATATTGTGAACATGTTTCCATAACACTTCTATGTTGTTTTGTAACAGCTTGACTACATAGAACATAAAAGCAGCTGCGGAAGCAATGCCATTTTTAATTTGCTCCAGACAGATTTCTAAACATGTATTATTCTTCCAGGAGTTCATGTTCAATCTCCAGTTTTCCAAATGGACCTTTTTATTGATATCTACAAAGTGAGTCATTTGACACTGACCAGATTGTGTGCAGTTTAGCTCTGGTAAACATCCTCACTGGGACTTTAAAGGCAAACTACGATCCTGCAGTGGCTGTTTATCCTCAAATTAAATGGAGATAGATAACTTTGCAGGGCAGCCCTGCCCCTGCTACAGTGATCCGTGTCCAGTGCAATGCATCTCTTATGATGTTATGGGAAATCCATGGCTCTGGTAATGAGTAAGGCGGTGTCTTGTAGATCACTGAGCCAAAGAGGCGTCCCCTCATCTCACTTGCAGTCTAATAAAGATATTGGCATCATGCTCTCAGCTCCGTATTTATATCGATCCTCCAAATGGAGGCGTGCTTTTTCTGTTTGGTAACCGTAGAAACAGAACCAAAAAAAAAATTATCGCTTCTTATTTTGACTTGGCCTCAAGTCTTTGGATACTGGCACCAAGTCACATAGAGCAGAAGCTTTTTTTGACCACAACTTGTAAGCAACACGTAACTGGAAATGTTGTATACAAACAAACACTACTGCTTTTTGGTTACCGTTGCTATAGTAACAAACCTACACACAGTTCTGAGCAAGAGTCAGAGATCACCTTTTCGCTTGTTCAGTTTCTAGTCAAAATGGTCATTAAGAACACGTTATTAATTTTTTAGCACCAGAAAAAAAGCAGGAAAAATATATTTAACAGAAGGTTACACAAAATTCTTCAACACTAAGTATAGTATATTAAATCTATCAGTATTTAATTTGTCCACTCATAACTTTGGTGCACTGCCACTTTAACTCCTCCAGACCTTAACGATATGAGTCAGAAAGCTGTTATTGAGAAGAAGAAATTGACAAAAGAAGACAGTTTTCACGAAAACTTTGAAAGTAAACATCGGAAATAAAGTGTCTAAATTTGTAATTGGAATTGCTTGAATTGTCCAAGGACTCTTGCCCAGGTGAAGGAGAATCATGTTTCTGTCCATCCTTCCACTGTGAGAAGTCAACTCATTTCTATGGCTCTGAAAGGATGTGAAGCTGTTAAGAAAAAGTTACTGAGAAAAGGAAACAGACAAAAAAGAAAAAAAAAAATTGTAAATCAAACAAAGAAGCTGCTGGTGTTCTCAGAATAATGGACTGACCACTGACCACTGTCCAGACCTCAACATCACTGAATGTGTTCGTGATTTTTGGATTGTGAGAATCAGAAAATGCAACCAACTTCTAAGACTGAACCTTTGTAGAGAAGTATCCCAGCAGATTTCTCAAAAATGTAGGAGGTTTTGATATGATAACGTATGAAATATCCGTGATAATACAAGCTTCATTGTGTCAGAGAACTGATCAGAATTTATTCCTGACCTTTATCTGCTGTTATGCTAAAGCTAAACTCTTAGTTTACGATCTCTCTCCCCTTTCTCCCCTTTATTACAATCGTGCGTCCTTCATACCACCGCTATAAAATTTCATTGCTACTGTTTCCCACATTGTTACACACTGAATCAACAGGACACTAATCTCAAGTTGAAGAGCTCGAGAATGAAAGATTTATGGAGAAAAGTTTGCTCGAGTTGTAAACCTGTGGCCTCTTTGCCCTTGGAA